TGAAATTCGGAATCAGGCAGTATATAAGAGGCCTGTTAGATTTTTTAATCATAGCGTTACTCCTATCTGCGGGTGTGTTGACTCTGTGTTGCCGACGCGAGCTGCAAAGACTGAAGCAGGCGTATCGCAGCTCTCTCTCCCTCACTATAAGCCAAGTCAGGGTTGCCACCTCGTCGTCTGCGGCCATCATGGCATGCATGGGAGTCAGCATGTGCGGATCTGTGGCGGCAAACCAACCCATGTTTTGGGCGTTTTATCCAAAATAGCTGTAATTGTAATTAGATTTTGTTTAAACGCAACGAACATTGTAGCATATTTAGACAAAATTAGCCTGACGGATTTTTAATGGCAAGTGGGAATCCTATCACAAGTCATAATTTCAGGTAATTATGGAGGATTTTATAGTGTGGGGTTCATGCACAACCTCCTCGGAATATGCACCTTAAGCCAGACGACTCTGTCTGACATACTTAGACGTTGACCAGATGCCTCACAAAATACTTCACTCCGCCTTACATCCAGTCGGCCGGCGTTTTTTTTCGCGTTGTGAGAGGGGGAGAGATGCCCTGAGCCTTCCCTACCTTCCATCACTTTGATAAATCCAACATATTGTGGGCTATCTGCCAATTGGCACGATAATTCGTTCCTCAAGATCAAGAGCTACGTTTTAAAGATCCCTTCTTAGTGCCCTCTTATGACAAGTCATTTCGCTGTGAGCGAAGTTTGATTACTGAGCGCCTAGTGAAATACTCGTTCCATTTAAGTTCCACTTTTCTTCCTTCTTCATCGATTAGTTTGAATCCAAATTTATCATTCTTGAGGAAGGGTGGCCAAGATGCTGAGGATACTACGCGTCGCGTGTTGAGATTGACAAAAGAAATAAAGTATGATCAATGTCTCCCCACATAGCTGTTGATACACAGACACCATTAAGTGCTCCGTGGCTACGACTGCGTTCATCATATTGTGGCGTTTGATAAGGGGTTGACTGCGTTTCTCAATGACATTACCTTCTCGAGCTCCGTCCTACTTAAAAATAGTTTTGCACGTAAACAAAAAAATCTTTGAATTGCCAATGCAACCGAACATGCAAATCAGAGGAAGTAATTGCGAAGGAGTAGATGGAATCGGTGGGACAAGACTGTTATTCGCCTCTTGTGTGCATGACAAGTAAGGATGACAAGTAACGTCTCCCTGATCAAAGATAAATGTCCTAGAAATAAATTGAGAAGAAGTAGATGGAATCACTGGGACAAGAATTTTATTCGCCTGACGTTTTGAAATCTGCCGCGGACTCATTATCAAAGACAATAAGAGAAACGGGTTACTCATACACAGGAAGTTGCATCATTTATAGGCTAGAGTCACTGCATATTTATGTAAATTAGCAGCTTCCCTATCGATGACAGTTGTTCGCTTGTGCGCTAATTGAGATACTTGAGTCATGGTTCACGGACCCCTAGTCTATAAACAAGTTTTACGACCTGTCCAATTCAT